TGTCCGTAGGACACAGCAATCACGGAGATCGCTGGGTGCGCGTCCCCAGGGGCGCGCAGGAGAGAGCATTCTGGGAGGACGTCATATGACGCCCTCCCAGAACTGGCCGGCCGCAGTGTAGCCGTCATTCGGCTATCTGCGGCCGGCAACTGGTTAAGGTCTGCTTAGTAATTTTTGGGTTCCCTGTCAATCTGGACCTTCTCCTGCAGACCCACCCTCTGCTCACACCACCATACTCTTGTGACCACAATGAACCACTACTTTAAAATGGACTCACACACAAGGTAGTATAAATTAATATGAAGTTTATATTGGCACTGAATGTAACTTGGTCAAAAAGAACAGAATAACATGGGTTTATGCAGCGAAGATAATCACTCTTGTCAATTTTAAGTAAAAGTAACAGTATAACAGAAATACCCGTAACTGGTAGCAGGCCTGCTTTCAGAAATAATCCAATGCCTCCAATTTGAGGAGACTCTTGAATGCCCAGTGAGAAAGAACAAATATTACAGGTAAGCTCACTGTGAGTCCTCAGAACTAGATGGCTGGGATTAAATGTGAAGTATTTATAATTGACCAATGTTCCTTTAAGAATAATATAGAGTCTTCTGCGTGCTCGTTGGGGCTCAGTTGTTATGAAATTGGATAAAGGTGTAGATAATAGTTCTTCAAAATGGTAACACAAAAATATTAAGGAGGAAAGAAAGGATTTAACACTTTTCTTTTTGCTGGTGGTGAATTAGTGCAGAGTCCTCTTTAAAGCACTAGATAAAAGGCAGGCTTGAAATAGTGGAGAATAACAATTGAAATAAGTGTCTATGGACAAAGACAACTCTCTCTAAATGTCAAAGGCCAAAGGCAACAGTAGTAGGAATCCTGTTCTGCTGAGAAAGGGAACTTGTTGCTGTATTCTGGCCTGCAACTATATGTCCTGAGGTCAGCTTGGATGATGAGACTGTAATGCAGGTGTTTTACAACAGAGGTGACTGGGGAACTAGGCTGCAACCTGGGGCAACTATATGTAATGTTCACAACTATATGCAGGGAGATTTATATCAATAAATACCAGCGCAAACCCACATAATAAATTGCATCACCCAACCTATTAGACAAACTAAAAAAACGTGACCACTTATATGCTAATAAAATAATAAAAAAATATATATATATAAATAAATACATAAATAAATAAGTAAATAATTATTGAATTAATAAGTCCAGTGACAAAAAAATCCCAAAATAACAGTCCCGTGACAAAAATTGTAATTATACTGTAATTTTCATTGGATTCTTCCGTGCTTTTGATCCCTTCACCATCCACCAGTGCAAAAACCAACATTAACCGCACTCACCAGATATTAGTGAGTCACACGCCTTTCAGGTATATTAAGGGCTCCTGGACCCTCTTTACTTTATATAGGACCTCCAAATAATACCTCCTTTCAGATCTGGGTACCTCTTCTGGTTACTCCTCTCACCGAATCCCCCAAGGAAAATCAGGAAGAAGAAAAAACCATAGCGTAATACCGTAGTGATTTCTCATCAAAAAAAAATCTCTCCAGACCACTCACATTTTAGCAGGATATAACCCACATTTTATTTGAAACAACAACGATCTTTCTTTAAAAACGATCCTCTTTCCATGTACAGCGACTCTTGCATAAAAGACCCCACAGCCTAGTATACAGCAGGATGGCAGACCTCAGATGCAGACTCATTCACTATTCAAAAATGGCCCCTTGGAACGCACCGCTTGGCGTGCGTTCCACTCACCGGAAATGACGTCAGACGCCGGAACAGGCAACCGGAAGTGTGTCACGCACTTCCGGTTGCCTGTTCCGGCGCCTGACGTCATTTCCGGTGAGTGGAACGCACGCCGAGCGGTGCGTTCCAAGGGGCCATTTTTGAATAGTGAATGAGTCTGCATCTGAGGTCTGCCATCCTGCTGTATACTAGGCTGTGGGGTCTTTTATGCAAGAGTCGCTGTACATGGAAAGAGGATCGTTTTTAAAGAAAGATCGTTGTTGTTTCAAATAAAATGTGGGTTATATCCTGCTAAAATGTGAGTGGTCTGGAGAGATTTTTTTTTATGAGAATTCACTACGGTATTACGCTATGGTTTTTTCTTCTTCCTGATTTTCCTTGGGGGATTCGGTGAGAGGAGTAACCAGAAGAGGTACCCAGATCTGAAAGGAGGTATTATTTGGAGGTCCTATATAAAGTAAAGGGGGTCCAGGAGCCCTTAATATACCTGAAAGGCGTGTGACTCACTAATATCTGGTGAGTGCGGTTAATGTTGGTTTTTGCACTGGTGGATGGTGAAGGGATCAAAAGCACGGAAGAATCCAATGAAAATTACAGTATAATTACAATTTTTGTCACGGGACTGTTATTTTGGGATTTTTTTTGTCACTGGACTTATTAATTCAATAATTATTTACTTATTTATTTATTTATGTATTTATTTATATATATATATTTTTTTTATTATTTCATTAGCATATAAGTGGTCACGTTTTTTTAGTTTGTCTAATAGGTTGGGTGATGCAATTTATTATGTGGGTTTGCGCTGGTATTTATTGATATAAGTTTTTTTGGTTTTTGCACCTGTGTACAGCAGCATCTCACAGGGAATTGTGTGTCTAATAAGAGAATCCTGGGCGCTGAGGTTTTTTCTTTTTGTCTATATGCAGGGAGATAGCTGGGATGATGAAACTGTCAGTGTTCCCTTAGTTAGTGGATATTTGGGACTATCTCACCCGATCTGTGTGGTCTGGCAGATGATGGTGATTCAGTTTTTCTGGCAGATGAGGGCCACGCTCAGACTCTCCGGTTCCGATCCGGCATCCTGCTTGGTCTCCTGCTAACAGATTGGCTCACTGGGCAGCATGGCACGTTGGGTGATCAGTAGGCTTGTTCTGCTCCTTCTCCAACTCTGGCTCTGTGGCCTAATTTGCACTTCAGTCATCATAAACTTCCTCTCTCTCAGCCTCTCCCCTCACTTTCCTGGCCAGTCTCCCGGGCTTTGATATTTACATGCCCCCACCCACACGATACCCAGGGAAATGCAGTCCCTGGCATCCTGCCCACCATTCAACACCTGCTGTTCAGCATACAAATTCCAGAGGGCTGTTCTGTCAAATGTGAATGACCCTGAACGGCAGGTCACCACCAACTAATGTCAATTTTTAAGTACTGCATCTAACACCATTTCAATGGTTTACACCCTTCCACCACTTTAAATCTTTGGTCCCCAAAGAACAAAAAGCTAAGCAAACTAAGAACATTTGACACAACATATTTTCATTAAATAAAGAAATTAACCCCATTAATTAGGAGGGACAGCAATCGGCAAGTATACATTACTACTCAACTGCTATAATAATAACTCCCACTCAGGATTAGGAGACTCTGATTCTCTAAGAAGTAAAGCAATAGCTGTAGAAACCCCCTCGGGGATGTTGTCAGCAGAGGGGATCTCAGGTTCTTGGATATGCTCCAATAAAGTAGTTGTCAGGGCTCCAGGGTGTGACCAGAGGTATGTGACTGACGCAGGGAAACGCAGGCTTCAGATATGTTATAAATATAATTTATTAACACTAACAATACATAAACGCAGTGCAATACTAAAACATACACAGTGCAAACGAACCAAACCAAACCACCCACAGATAACAGTACATACAATGCAAGCGTCGTCAGGCAGGCCGGGATTATCAACAGGAGGTCAGAACGTATGGGGTTAAGCAGGAGAATGGTCAGACAAAGCCAGGGATCAGGAGCAGGAGAATGGTAAGACAAAGCCAGGGATCAGGAGCAGGAGAATGGTCAGACAAAGCCAGGGATCAGGAGCAGGAGAATGGTCAGACAAAGCCAGGGATCAGGAGCAGGGTCAGCAATGAATCAGACAGGAACAGGAACAGGGAGCAGGAACAGGATACAGGGCCCAGGAGAAACACACACCAAGGCAGAGTCTGCAGATCTGGCCATCCCTTAAATACACCAGTATAATCAATTCCAGGTGTTTGGCTGGCTGCAAGGTTGAGTCTCTGATTGCTGGGAGCACCCGCTGGCCAGCCCTGGTACTGCAGCCCATAAGGCAGGTGAGTCCCACCATTGCTGGCCAGTCCATTCCTGACAGTACCCCCCCCCTCAAGGAGCGGCCTCAGGACGCTCCAAACAGTCCTAGCTGGGCAAAATGTTCCACCGCCCGGGTCTGGTAACTGGCAGGATATCAAAGACTGGCACACCGGGCAGGACTCCGGGCAGCGGCACACCGGGCAGGACTCCGGGCAGCGGCACACCGGGCAGGGGCACATCGGGCAGAGGCACATCGGGCAGAGGCACACCGGGCAGCAGGCACACCGGGCAGAGGCACACCGGGCTGGACTCCGGGCAGAGGCACACCGGGCTGGACTCCGGGCAGAGGCACACCGGGCTGGACTCCGGGCAGAGGCACACCGGGCTGGACTCCGGGCAGAGGCACATCGGGCTGGACTCCGGGCAGAGGCACATCGGGCTGGACTCCGGGGGCAGAGACACATCAGGCTGGACTCCGGGCAGAGGCACATCGGGCTGGACTCCAGGCAGAGGCACATCGGATTAACAGGTGAAGCAGCAGGCAGCGGGCCACCAGGCGGAGCAGCAGGCACCGGGCCACCGGGCGGAGCAGCAGGCACCGGGCCACCGGGCGGAGCAGCAGCAGGCACCGGGCCACCGGGCGGGGCGACAGGCACCGGGCCCCCGGGCGGGGGCAACAGGCACCGGGCCCCCAGGCGGGGCGACAGGCATCGGGCCCCCAGGCGGAGCGGGGGCGCCAGGCCCCCAGGAGGACAGGCATCGGGCCCCCAGGCGGAGCGGCGGGCGCCAGGCCCCCAGGAGGGGCGACAGGCATCGGGCCCCCAGGAGGGGCGACAGGCATCGGGCCCCCAGGCGGGAGCGACAGGCATCGGGCCCCCAGGCGGGGCGACAGGCATCGGGCCCCCAGGCGGGGCGACAGGCATCGGGCCCCCAGGCAGAGCGGCGGGCGCCGGACCCCCAGGCGGAGCGACAGGTCTCGGGCCCCCAGGCGGAGCGGCGGACGCCGGACCCCCAGGCGGAGCGACAGGTCTCGGGCCCCCAGGCGGAGCGGCCGGCGCCGGACCCCCAGGCGGAGCGACAGGTCTCAGGCCCCCAGGTGGAGCGACAGGTCTCGGGCCCCCAGGCGGAGCGGCGGGTGCCGGACCCCCAGGCGGAGCGACAGGTCTCGGGCCCCCAGGCGGAGCGGCTGGCGCCGGACCCCCAGGCGGAGCGACAGGTCTCAGGCCCCCAGGCGGAGCGACAGGTCTCAGGCCCCCAGGCGGAGCGGCGGGCGCCGGACCCCCAGGCGGAGGTGGCGGGCGCCGGACCCCCAGGCGGAGCGACAGGGTCTCGGGCCCCCAGGCGGAGCGGCGGGCGCCGGAACCCCAGGCAGAGCGACAGGTCTCGGGCCCCCAGGCGGAGCGGCGGGCACCGAGTCACCAGGCACGACAGTGGGCTCCGAGTCAACTGGCATGACCGCTGGCACTGGGTCAGACATTGGATCGTCTGGCTGGACAGCGGGCATCGGGTCACCAGGCATCAGGTCATTTGGCTCGACAGCAGCGGGCACCGCGTCATCTGGCAAGGCAGTGGGCTCCGAGTCAACTGGCATGACCGCGGGCACTGGGTCAGACATTGGATCGTCTGGCTGGACAGCGGGCATCGGGTCACCAGGCATCAGGTCATTTGGCTCGACAGCGGGCACCGCGTCATCTGGCAAGGCAGTGGGCTCCGAGTCAACTGGTATGACCGCGGGCACTGGGTCAGACATTGGATCGTCTGGCTGGACAGCGGGCATCGGGTCACCAGGCATCAGGTCATTTGGCTCAACAGCGGGCACCGCGTCACCAGGCACGACAGTGGGCTCTGAGTCAATTGGCACGACAGCGGGCACCGGGTCATCAGGTACCGGATTGTCTGGCTCGACAGCGGGCATCGGGTCACCAGGTATGACAGCGGGCACTGGGTCACCAGGCATCAGGTCATTTGGCTTGCCAGCGGGCACCGCGTCATCTGGCAAGGCAGTGGGCACCGGGTCACCAGGCATTGGATCGTCTGGCTCGACAGCGGGCATCGGGTCACCAGGTATGACAGCGGGCACTGGGTCACCAGGCATCAGGTCATTTGGCTCGCCAGCGGGCACCGCGTCATCTGGCAAGGCAGTGGGCACCGAGTCACCAGGTACGACAGCGGGCTCTGAGTCAATTGGCACGACAGCGGGCACCGGATCAGGTACCGGATCGTCTGGATCAACAGCGGGCATCGAGTCAACTGGCCTAATAGGATCATCAGGCTGGATCAGTTCATCATGCTGGGTAGAGGCATCAGGCTGAGTGGAGGCATCAGGCTGAGTGGAGGCATCAGGCTGAGTAGAGGCATCAGGCTGAAGAGAGGCATCAGGCTGAAGAGAGGCATCAGGCTGAGAGGCATCACAGGCAGGCATCAGGCTGGGTACAGGCATCAGGCTGGGTACAGACCTCAGGCTGAAGTGCGGGTGCCGAGGCACCAGGCTGAACCACGGAAGGCAGGTTCTCAGACGGCAGGCTCACTGGTTTGGATACTGGCAGGATGGTATTGGGTTGGAAAGAATTTTCGCTTTTTTCTGGTTTTAACTACTGGAGCAGTGCAAGTAAACGCAGGTCTGCAAACGAATGGAGCAGCTGGAGACAGAGAAGAGCTGGAGGATGGAACAGGGGAGGGAACAGTTGCTACAGAGGGCTTTTTTACAGGGTTAAAGGCAGGATAGGTGCAGCGAGTGGGAACAGGGTACTGACATGCGGTAGATAGCAGGGCAGGAGGAGCTGTTGGGAATGCAGGAATAGAGCTTTGAGGAAATAGATTAGAAGCAGGACTGGGTTTTTGTAAGCTGACTGAGGCTGGGTGCAACAAATCTGTCCATGTCTGCAGTATGGGTTCAACAAAGCTGAGCTTACACAAAGCCTGTCTGACCAAAGACTGCACTGCGTTTATACAATCTCTTAGTATCTGTGGTGAACATGCAGCATAATGCTCCAAGAAGCAATCCACATCATCCTCTAATAACCATACCAGGGACTCTACCTGGTCGGCACTAAATGGCAGCAAAAAGTCATCCCTGCATTCGGGGGTACCAGATGAAACCAACTCAGCACAAACCTGAATCAATGGCTGCACCTCAGAGAATTCTGTGCCCTGATCTACTAGAACATGAGCGAGCCATATACATTCTAGCAGTTCATCCCGGGTATACTCCTTCAGAGTTTGATAAGCATATTCTCTGTCATCAAACACTAGCAGATATAAATACACAACCTCATCAAGATCCATCCTTCCCATCAACAAACCAAGATGGCTTCCCTGTGCAGCCACTTCTGGTCAGGATTGGCCTTGGTGTAATGTCAGGGCTCCAGGGTGTGACCAGAGGTATGTGACTGACGCAGGGAAACGCAGGCTTCAGATATGTTATAAATATAATTTATTAACACTAACAATACATAAACGCAGTGCAATACTAAAACATACACAGTGCAAACGAACCAAACCAAACCACCCACAGATAACAGTACATACAATGCAAGCGTCGTCAGGCAGGCCGGGATTATCAACAGGAGGTCAGAACGTATGGGGTTAAGCAGGAGAATGGTCAGACAAAGCCAGGGATCAGGAGCAGGAGAATGGTAAGACAAAGCCAGGGATCAGGAGCAGGAGAATGGTCAGACAAAGCCAGGGATCAGGAGCAGGAGAATGGTCAGACAAAGCCAGGGATCAGGAGCAGGGTCAGCAATGAATCAGACAGGAACAGGAACAGGGAGCAGGAACAGGATACAGGGCCCAGGAGAAACACACACCAAGGCAGAGTCTGCAGGTCTGGCCATCCCTTAAATACACCAGTATAATCAGTTCCAGGTGTTTGGCTGGCTGCAAGGTTGAGTCTCTGATTGCTGGGAGCACCGCTGGCCAGCCCTGGTACTGCAGCCCATAAGGCAGGTGAGTCCCACCATTGCTGGCCAGTCCATTCCTGACAGTAATAGTTTCAAAAACCTCTTCAGAATTGGTGTTAGCAAACAGATTTCTGAATTTGCTTTAATAAGATGTAAATAGGAGCCTCTAGGATTCTTTTGCAGCCATGGAGGGCTTCTTCAGAGCTTTCTCCCAAAATATCAAAAATCAGTCTTTTGGGTGCTCTTATCTCCCTTTTTTCTCTAGATTCCTAATGGGAGACACTTTATGCTTCTTCTCTAAAATCATTCTCCCTTGGATTTAGAAGTGTAGCAGCCTCTTTGTTTCCAGACCCCATCTGAGAACTCCCGGGAGAATCATTTTCAAGTTGAGGAAAGAGGAAGTCTTCGATATTGAAACCTGGCAAAGATTTAGACTCAGCAGGTCCTGTGTTAATTATATCTGCAGAAAAGGGAATCTCGGACTTGAAACGTGTCAAAGGGGTAGTAAAACTTGAGGTAGGTGCCAGAAGACTTTTATAACAGTTAAGAGTTGTTGTCAGCCTATTGCTACTTCTACCCCCTCTTCCTCTTTGAACCCCTCCTCTTCTGGACCTGGGATAGGGGAAGCCTGTGTGGCTGCGTCCCTGCAGCAGGAGGGTAATTTGTCAGTTTTGGGACCCACACAGCATCAGACAAAGGCAGGAGATAATTTCAATGCCAAGATTTAACTGGACTTTTTTTCCCTTGTGGATGGATCTGATACACAGGTAGGTCTGGTTTCTTGCAATTTCCAGTGAGCTGGAATTTTGTGTTTCCCTGGAATCCTAAGGTTTCTTAACAGCACCCAATCTCCTGGTTGCAAGTCCTGTAACTTCACCTTGGAATCATAGCATTGTTTATTCCTCTGTTCTGTAAGCTGGCATCCTCATAAGCAGTGTCCAATCAATACTCCAGTCTCCGAAATATCCCTTATGTGATATGTGTCAAGTGATCAGGAGTCCATGGGAAACTTAGCCTCCCACCCAAACATCAGATGATAGGGGGAAAAGCCTGTGGCATCATTCTCAGTACTATTTTCCAGCATTTTCAGAAGTGTCCTATTGAATCCTTCTGATTGAGGGTCACCTTGGGGGTGATAAGGAGTGGTTCTGAACTTCTCATGCCTAACAAGGTCAGCAACTCCTTAGTTAGTCTGCTTTCAAAGTCTCTATCCTGGTCTGAGTGGATTCTTTGAGGACAGAACTTTTCTACTAGCACTTTTGCCACAGTGGATGCTTGCAGGTTCTTTGTGGGGAATGCCTGAGAGTATCCAGTGAAATAATCTGTCACTATTAGGATATTCCCCCATCCACTTGAACCAGGTTCCAGACAAGAAAACAATACACACCAGCTCCATTTGTCCTTGGCTCTGGAGATGACCTGAATAGAGCAGCTTGTTAAGGTAACGTCTGTCTTTGTATACAGCTGAGACACGTGTAACAGTACTCCTCCACTTTGGATTTCATACGTGGCCAATAGAACTGGTCTCACACCAACAGGCCAAAATGCCCTTGGTCATCATGCAGTGATTTCCACACCATGTTCTGAAATTTAGTGGGTGAGAAGAGCTGCCATTGATCTTCATTTCAGTCCGAGGGACCCCTTCAGGAGACCACCCATCCTTCAGTTTCAATCTATACCACTTTTGGGTAATAACCTTAGCATCAGGGGGATCTTTCACCCACAATAGATAAGGTTTCTTCTTCATAAGGCTGTTCTTGTGGGCTGACAGAGGGGATCTTAGTTCTGAGCTGAGCCTCCTGCTTGTCCTTGGTGGTGAGCTGTCGTAGTTCTCCACCTTTCATCTGAGGTATGTTGCAATAATATGATGGGATGCAGGCACTCTTGCCTCCCAGCACTTTAGCATACGCCACCCGTTTGAGTACATACTCAGCTCCTTGACTCACGGCTTGTACTTCCTCTGAGGATACCTGCAACCAGTTTGATCCAGTGTTATGGCAGCCATGGGGTCGTCTAGATAGAGCATTCTCATCTATATTCCCTGCTCCAGGCCTGTACTTTAGGCTGAAGCAGAATCCAGATAGCGCAGCTAGCCATCAATGTCCAGTGGCATCTACTGTAGTTTAGCTGTGGTGAGCATATAGGCTAGTGGATTGTTATTTTCCTTCACAAGGAATTCAGCTCCATATAAATAATCCTTCAGCTTGTCTACCACGGCCCACTTCAAAGCAAGAAACTCCAACTTGTGTGTTAGGCAACTCCTTTCAGCAGGGGAGAGGCTTCTGCTCACAAACGCCACAGGACACAGTAATCCAGCATGTTTTTGTTAGAGAACTGCCCCCAGTCCCTCACGGCTGACATCTACATGGAGTTTTGTACAGCTTGGAGGGTCGACATAAGCCGACACAGAGGCCTGCATTAAGCTCAATGAAGGCTTGCTCACACTTCTGGGTCCACTGGCTGCTGATGGGCTCTCAAGGTCTTCAAAGCCCTTTTTTTGGAGGGTTCTTGCTTGACTCACTGGTTTCACCCTCCATATTCTTCAAGAGGTCAGTAAGGGATGCAGCTGTATTTTTGAATCCCTCCACAAACCAACGATAATACAAACAGAATCCCAGAAGCGACCTTAATTTAGTAATATTGTTGGGTCAAGGACAGGTAGTCACAGCTTCAATCTTGCTTGGGTTTCTAGCCACCCCTTCTGCAGAGACTACATGACCCAGATAGTTGACAGAATTTCTATAGAATTGGCACTTTTCCAGGGACAATTTCACGA